GTCTTACAATTTTCTTCCTTATACGAAATATTAATAAATAATTTGAATGACTGTAAAGAGCTCTAGCATTCAAACTGGATTACACTTGGGCCCCCTCGTGAGCGACTTTTTGTGTAGAACCGGTATCAGTCCATAGTTTTTGGTTCATTGCTTCATAAAAACTGTAAATCTATCCCTGTAACACGCCGTGGAGACTTGTAAGGTTGTGAGATGTCGCGACTCCCACATTTTCTGTACAGTCGACTCAAAACAGCGGTGAGGTTGACAGCCTTACGCACCGGCCGAACTTTAACCGACAGGAATATTCCTGGTACTCGTTTTTGTTAGAGGCCGAGGCAACTCCAGGGTCATATTGAGGCTGAATGGATGGCGTCAATTGAAAAATGCAATTACCTCATCGGGAATCGAATCCGCGACCTTCTGACTTGCAGCATAGTGTGTAAGATCTGCAGTAGGCGAAACATATGAATGATGGATACAATGTATTGTTATATCAAACTAGAAGACGAAACAAAAGATATTCTCCTGGATGTTGTGTTCTGTACATACACGGGCCGTGCTTTTGCGTGGAGAGTGCAGACAATTGTCTGTCTGTCCTCCTCTCTGCGCCAGTTACTTCAGGCGCAACACAAAACACACTTTCACACAACGAATTGGTTGCGTGTTCGTCTTTTCGTTATAGGCAAACCACTGATATGCTGTGCGCAACTAAACGTGCTTGTACTAAATATTACGGTCTTCTGGAACGTGACGCCGAACAGTTTTGTAGAAAAATACCTGTTGACTCCAGCTTTAGAGTACAGGACTGTGACAGTAAATGTGGTCTTCTTATCTTAAAATGAATATGAGTGTTTCGGGAGAACGTGTTACCTCTGTCTACAGGATAAAAGACTGTGAATGTACTAGGCTTCTACCCTTAAGATGAATGCCCATGTTTCGGAAGGGCATTTTGCTTCCAACTTTAGGTTAGAATACTATAAATGTACATATCATTCTACCTTATAACAAATACCAATCCTTCGTAGCAACCTACTGCCTCTATCTTCGGGTTAGAAGTCTAGAAGTACTTACGTACTTACTTATGGAGCTAAGAACTTCTTGAGGAGCCGCCAATTCTGCACCTACTCAAGAAATTCCCAGAATTTTATGGAACCCGAAGGTTCATTACCGTGTTCAAAAGAGCCCTCCACTGATCCCTATCCTGAGCCAGACCAATCCAAACCATACCATCCCATTCTATCTCTCTCAGATCCATTTTAATATTGTCCACCCACCTATTCCTTGGTCTTTCCAGTGGTCTCTTTCCTTCTGGCTTTCACACCAATATCCTATACGCATTCCTCGTCTCCCCCATTCGTGCCACATGCTCTGCCCACCTCATCCTCCAGCTTTGGGGTTGGGCGTGGGGATAACAACTCCTCACCGTAAAAATAATCATGTTACGAAAATGAACTTTTAACCTCAACACGAATATTAAAGTATCGGAGGAAACTGCCGAATCCATCCCCAGGGTAGAGGACAAAAAGCATAATCTTCAACCCTGAAGCCGGAGGGAGCAGTTTCCTCCGAAATGCTCATCTCCAACTAAAAGACAGTAACGACGTCACACCTCAGGAGACTGCAAACTTTATACCACATAAAAACATTAAACCTCACGTGTATGTATACTACAAATAACTAATCAAAGTGATGTGCCGTTCACGATAGCCGAACGGTCTACGGCAGGCACTGCCTTCGCTCGCTCGGAAGCCGGGATCATGGGTTCGAATCCCACACAAGGCATGGATGTTTGGTATGTGTACGTGTTTATTCTGTGTTTGTGTTGTCCTGTGTTTAGGTAGAGGCTTTGGGACGAGCTGATCACCCGTCCAAGGAGCCCTACGGTCTGTACAATGATCGATGAAACTGAGAAATCAGCCCTGTGCTCCGAGGTGGGAGAGAAGAGGAAGACAAAAATCACCCTAATGTATTTTGAGAACTGGGGAAAGATAATTAACTCCATGGAGCAGAATCCATTTTGAGGACTTAATAGTTCCTCAGGTGAAGAAATTCTCCACATTTCTGGAAAGAAAATGTTCAATACCATATTCACAAGACTAAATTTTAAACTAGTCCTCATCCTAACCCCTGAAGAGTGTATTCACTGAAGATCAACTAAAGACACTCCTTATCTACTACCCCAAATTTCCAGAGCAGTTCCCTACCTTTCATGTTTTCAACTAATTTTGTCAACGCATCTCTTCCCCGCCCCCCGAAATTTGTGATCCGTGCTCCCCTCTCATGGAGAAAGTACTGGAATTTTATGAACTGCCTTCGGTGGATTCTTTGGCGAGATAAAGGTCAGTATTTGTGGGCCGCTTGGCCGCATGTCGGTGATGGAAATTGTAGGTTGGCTGGGTGGGGGTGAGGGGGCAAAAATAATAAATAAATATTTTGGAGGTTCCCTCAGCGGTAACTATCTTCTAGGTTAAGACACCACGAACATCCATACAAGTTCCCTAAATTTTCGGAGGAACTTATTGCTTCCATCTTCAGAGCAGATATAGTCAAACGAGCGAACACAACTTTCATCTTTGCTTGCTTTGGTTTCTACGTCTTTCTGTTTGCTTACTTGGCTTACTCTCTGTCACTGATGATGGAGGTAGTACGTTTCATCGAAACGACAGTAAAATTTTGCTGACCTGCACGCCGTCATATTCGGGTAGATAGGATTCCTCGAGAAATCTTTCTTGCATTGTAAAACTTTTCATTAATGCTGTACTAGAGTTGCATTTCTGTTAACAGAACAAACTAAAAAAAAAGTCAAAGGTATCCCTCTAACAGGCCGTGGAGGCCCATAGGGTTGTGAGACGTCGAGGCTCACACATTTTCCAGACAATCGGCTCACAGATGACTGTGAGGTTATCAGCCTTCCTCCCCGGCTCCCGTTACCCCCAGGAGTCTTCCTGGTACTCATTTCTGTTAGAGGCTGAGTCGAACCTAGGGTCATAGTGCGGTTGAAAGGTTTAGGCCAATTGAAAAATGCAATGATCTCACCGGAAGTCGAACTCGCTACCATCCGGCTTGTAGCATAGTGCCTCAACCAGCTACTCTACAGCTCTAATAACTGATACAATATTAAAATATACATAATTTAAAAATATTGTGACATGAAGCCTGAAACCAGGAATAGCCCATTGCTAGACAATGGCTCACTAAAGCGCGTACCCGCGGTAATGGTTACGCTTGTAGAAATCAAAGCGTTGCTGCAGAATTGACACACGCTTCGTAGCAATGGACAGACACGGAATATACACGAAATATTCGAGGAGATAATCAGGATTCGGTTCACCTTGATTCATAAAACGGGGACACGTAATTGATTTGAGAGTTCGTTCGGGATTGATGCATTCGTAAGAGAGTTCAGAAGGCACTTCAGTAGTTCACGGTTCAGCTGTGGCGTGCTAACCTGCGGACAGCGGAAGCTGAAGAGGTGACCGATTCGTAAATCAGAACCAAGTCAGTCACAGAGGAAGAGAAGACACTTATAGTGCAGCAAGGAATGGAGCGAGTGTTAAGACAGCCATGAATTGGGAGTTGTTGTAAGCGATTTATTTGTAAAGAAGTGTCAATAAATCCAATCATCCAATCCAGAAGCCGTTATTATTAGTCACGGAACCCCGTATTTCTTGGAAAATATGAGCTATCTTTTTGCTTTCTGGAAAATGTAGTACGACGTATATACATACAATACAGTATTGTTAGTTGTATAGTACAGTGTTGTAATCGTGAATAAGTCTGGAAGTTTTGACCGGTTTACAAATTTCAAGACCCCTTTCAATAAAAAGTAATTAAATGCCGTTTGTCTATGGATGTGTATATGTGCCCACCGCTAGCACCTGAATTGTTGGGCGGATATTTCAGAGTTTTGTCATAGATTATTGGCCTACTAACACGAACAGTCTACCTGTAAAGGCCCTTCAAATCGGTCCGGAGAAACATAAAGGCGAATACCTAGAAAACTACTATGACAATTTTAATTAAATTTCAGTATGTTATGGAGACCATCTCCCTAAATAAAACTTAATTAGTGATATATCAGAAAAACAATGGTGTGCGCACTAGAAGTCCAAACGTGAAGTGTCTTATTTCGTCTGGAAGATTTTATTTTTGTGCTGTATTTAGCAATCAATAATTGTTTACAAAGCAATTATAGGTTTCTAAGGGCCCGGGTATCGTAGTCGGTATAGCGACTGGTTACGGATTGGGCGACCGAAAGGTCGCAGTTCGAGTCCCGGTAAGATCAAGAATTTTCTCTTTTGGATGTCGTCCAGACCGGCTCTGGAGCCAACCCAGTCCCCTATTCAATTAGTATCGGGGGCTATTTCTCCAGGAGTAAAGCGGCCCTGGCGTGAAACTGACCGCTCGCCTCCAGCAAGTGCCGAGGTTAAGAAAGTGTGGATCTATACATCCACTCCTCCATACGCCTTCATGCCGTAGTTCCTAATTAGTTGAGCGCAGGGACGGCTTTACCTTTGCAATAGGTTTCGTTTCCAGAAATCTTAGTCAGGGCCAATCGTGTATGAGATGTTCCGATGTTTGTCGGGTTGGGGCTACGGTTTCTGTGACAACCTGTTGGGCCCAAAATGCAAACGTTACAGAATCAGTTATACAAGTACCTCTCACTCACTTCAACTGATAAATGAGTAAACGCCCCTAGATTTGAGCAGATTTTAAATTCCTTCTCTCGCTATGAACATGAGGCACCATGTACGGGGAGATCTAATTTTTGTCGCTCACGCCCAAACCAACCATGACACACACTGGACTCAAAAGCCATGTCCAAATTTTACCAGCTTGTTTCATTAGAGTGCATGATGAGGGTGTGTTATTCTGATTGTGTGTGGGGTGTGTTTACAAACCCTTGCATTAATGTTTGCTCGCTGGCAAACGACCCCCCCCCCTTTTCCATTCTTCGCGCTATCATAACAGTTGCTAGTGCTGTAATTACCAGCGCTTACCAATTGAATTTCTCGGAGGAACAAACCCGTAACCGGAAGCTCCAACGATGACTCCGCTTGTTTCATCGCCTCCCGGTGAAGTTGGGAAGAGGACGGGACCTAGAAATGAATGAGAGACGGTTAATTAGTACTGTCACTCCAAGGAACCTACTAATGAAGCCAACATTTTGTCGTCTGCTCTGAACAAACTTCCAGTTGTCTGAATGCTTCATTCACAACCTGGCATATTAATTAACGCCTCGTGCATTGAAGATGCGAGGCTACATGTTTTGGCATTGCTATGAACCGGGCTTTGATGCTTCTGCTTTTCAGTTTACCTGTTTCTAGACCTGAATACAGCCACAGGTTAACGGACAGACATAATTCATCAACATTTGTATTTTCCTTTTGGACTGTTCCAGATTTTCTGGAGTTCAGTGTGTAACTTACAGTTTCAATACGTCTATTGTTACGCTGGCTTCTTATAGTTCTCACTCTTTCTCTCAAGTTTTGTACTTAACTTTCCATTATCATTGCGCTAATTCAGGTTACCATAGCAACGAACTCTCGAGAGTTAACAAGTTCAACAAAGGTCTCGAACGAGTAAAGACTCTGAAGAAAGCAGTCTTCTGGGATTTGGCACCGTGTAGATGTGGTGTTAACCGACGTTTCGGAGGAACGTATCGCCTCCATCTTCAGGGTAGAAGAAAAAATATAAGAAATCTGCAAACGAAGAGACCGTGAGAACCGGTAAAAGCAGACACAGTCGGTAGTCGGTATAGCGACTCGATACGGGCTGCATGACCGACGGGTCAGAGTTCGAGTCCCGGTGGGTTCAAGAATTTTCTCTGCTCCACGTCGTCCAGACCGGCTCTGGGGACTACCCAACCTCCTGTCACATGGGTACCGGGGGTAAAGCGGCCGATACATGAAGCTGACCACTAACCTTTAGCTAGTGCCGAGGCCAAGAAAATGTGGATCTATATATCTACTCCCCCATACGTCTTCATGGAGTAGTGCTTAATTAGTTAAGCACAGGAACAACTTCATCTGCTGTTCGTGTCACACATTGAAGAGAAGTGAGCTCTTTCCCGGGATGAAAGACCAATAAAAGATGCACAATAGGTCATTGATGGTTGCGGTACAAGGGCCTACCTGTGTTTTGATTAACTCCTTCAGGAATGCTTGGGATAGACGGTCCACTGTTGTGGTGACGGTCCCCGAAGTAGTGGTCATAATCTCCCTGAGAAAAGACGACGCTAAACAATGTGACCAAGGAAATTAGAACCTGTAACAAAGACAAAGGAATCATATGAGGTTGGCAGTAGCTGTTTCGAAAGGTACAATTATACAGTGGTTAGGTTAAGCCTTAGCAGATCCGAAAGACTGAGCCTTTATCAACGGTGTGAAAAATTCCATGAAGAGACGAGTGATTTATTTATTTTTATCAATTTAATTGAATGAAAGTTTCGGAAATTATAAATGTTATTCTGGCAATTCCGTTCTCGCTTATTAAAGTGTAACGGTCCCTAAAAACATTCACAGGGTAGAGGTAATAATTAGGAACTCAAATATTTGAAATTCCAGCTAAATGAAGGTGTAATAAATAAAATACACATCCAAAGAATTGTATCTGTACTTAAAGGTTAAGTGAATCATTACGATGCATCTCGTAATTGCGCACTAGGAGTTGTGGTGTGAATTAAAAGTAACGAGATAAACTTGGTTTGATGCAAGTGGAAGAAAAAAAAAGAAGCTTTTTAAACTAAGAACGTGAACTAAATTAATTTTCAAGCTAAAATACCTAATCAGAATGTTATATCATTTAATACTCGTACTTTTTAACACTCTGTTAATCATTCTTTTAATTGCTACTTTATCGCCTAGAAAATTTATTAACATGATTTTATTAGGTCGATTATCCTAAATTACTTTAACTAAAACAATAAACTAACGAACTGACTGCACGCAGCCGAGTCCTTCTTTAGAAACCAAAATTTGTTCACCGATTCAAGAAATTCGCAACGCATCACAGTTACTCAAAGGTTCATTACGATGTTCACAAGAGCCCGCCACTGGTCAAAATCCTGAAACAAATGAATATAATAAGGCATCGAACCAACCGATCTGATGGAACCCGGGAAGAAAACAATGGATGTTTACCACGAATAACAGCAGGACTCAAATATCTGAACCAAGTCCGAGCAATGTAGAGGAAAGGAACAGTTCAAAAGACCAGACAGTGTTAAAGAAATGTTTAGATGAATTGGAGTCCAGTCAGACCGAGGACGAAGTCAAGAACGCGTTGGTGACGATAATGAACTTAGTGATAAACTCCGGGGACGATAAAGCAATGGTCAGACACCTGCTGAAAGCCATCGAACTTCACGGGCAAGAGGACAACAAAACTGAACGGGAACCAAACAATTAAGTTCGTTCAAAGGAACTGTAGAAGCTTACGAAGCTATTATAGAATAAAATGTTTGTATGAATGTGCTACAGAGGGCCGGGTGGGCATTGCCTACGTCATTTTTGTGCATGCATTTACTTTTTAAATAAAAAAAAGGCAGATGAATATAGTCCATACCTCTAGCGTCTTTCTCTAAGAGCAATTTTAATATTATCCTCCCTTGTAGTTCTGGGTTTTCCTCGTAGTATATTTCCTTTTGGATTTCGTACAAAAATCCCACATGCATTCCTATTCTTTTACATGCCTGCTATATTCTCTGCTCATCTCATTCTTACTGACTTCATCATTCTAATTATTGACAAGGGTGAAAAATGTAGTATGGGTAATGCAGGGTAATGTAGTCCAAAGACACTTTATGGTTTTTGTCATTTTCTGATTTGTACAGTTCCTTAGTTCTATGTAAAGGAGTGTGCGATAAATACTCCAATTACGAGCCAATCAGAAGCCAGAGAACCATAGCACATATATTCAGCACACTGTTGCTAAGCAGTGCACCTTTCCACGTTCTTTGTGTTCCTATTGTCTTCGTTTCTTTCTTCCTTCACACTTTTCACAGTCAGATAAATCATTCTGCACGTTTTTCTGTAGGGCTGGGTTTCGTTATTTCTCTTTGTGAAAGGAATATTTCATAGCACACGGCTTTCCGGATGCAAGGCACGGAACAGACAGTTTTATACTAACCTAAAACAAGAGTCGGACCTATTCGAATCAATTATTTTCGGTTTTACTATTGCAATTTCTTTTCAATAAACGCATTAAACATTTTTCAGTTTAGTCTAATAAATTCTGCCTTGGTTTTCAATCTTATTTCTTTGTGACTGGCGGACTGCTCGGTAAAAACATATTCCGTTTAACCAAGATTCCGCCTGAGACAAGATTTAGTGGACGCGCAAGACAGATTTTATGTTCTCATTTACAGCGTTCGCCTGTATGAAGGATGGGCAGGGATGGCCCTGTCGGTGTAACGACGAGATGGACGGTAAAGAAACCTGGGTTCGATTCCCGGCAGGGACAAGAGATTTTTCTCAACTCCACGGCATCCAGTTTTGAAGTCCACCCAGCCTCCTACTAAATCGATCCGGGGGGGGGGNCCACTGTGGTCCTCCCACACCCCCCACCCTCGCACCAGCACCCCGGCGGCGGGGGGGGGGGGGGGGAGCGGCCGGTGATTGAAGCTAACCACTCACAACCATCTAGCGTCAGGGTTAAAAATGTCGGAGCTATTCCTCCTGGTAATTAGTTAAGCCCAGGGATAACTTTATCTTCTACCTCTAGGAAAGGTTTATCAGAAACAACTTCACTCATGGAGGAGAAGAGAATGCATATTGTTGAAAAAGGAAAGAGACAGCTAGGAAAACACAGAAACAGGTGGCAGGATAACATTAAAATGGATCTTAGAGGGATAGGATGGGATGCCATGGACTGGATTGATCTACCTCAGAACAGGGACCAGTGGAGGGCTCTTGTGAACACGGCAATGAACCTTCTGGTTCCATAAAATACGTGTATTGCAATTTTCTTGAGTAGCTGAGCGACTGGCGGCTTCCCAAGAAGGACTCACTCCAATGAGTCAGTTAAGAAACCAGTAAAGAAGTTCAAGTGAGATTCGAGTTCGAAAGAGGATGATTGCTTCCTGAAAATGTTCGCTCTGTACAGCACAGTTCGTTTTGCAGCTGACCTTGCCCGTGGCCAATGTCCTTCGCGTCTCGGACACTATCAGCCACAGCTGGGAATTACGTAAGAAAGCCTAACCGTAACTTGCCTCCACCACGTGGGCAACATTCCTGCCAGCAGAAATGCAGACCCGGTTGGCAGTATCCTTCTCTGAGCACACGGATACAGAAACCTCTGTCGTGTTCAAGCAGCAATGACGTGGCGAGGACGGAAAAGTCCTACCTGTGAGAGCATGGACTGGATTAAACTGACCCAAGAAGGGTTACCGTTGATGGTTCTCGTGAACACCATCATGAGGCTCCAGGTACAATAAAAGTGCTTCTTTTCTTAAGGGAGACAGTGCCAATCACAATGATCGTGAGTCCTAAAGCATGAACTGTCTTCGCCCTTTCAAACATTGGGATCGTAGGTTGGAATCTCATTCGAGGCATGGATGTCGGTCCGCGTTTCTCCTGTATTTGTGTTGTCCTGTACAGGTAGGTAGAGGCCTTCCTACAGGGCTGATCATCTGTCCAAGGAGTCCTGTCGAGTGTCAGTAAGATCCACAGATCCAGATTAATTCTGATGGGAAACAGGCTAGTGTGCGTAATACGAAAAGAAGAAGAAAAGGAAGACGGAAGACAGTAAAGTTGTGACGTCACAATACTGTCTATGTGTGTGTATTTTCGCCGTGTCTGAATGTCTTCTGTTTCAAATGTTGAAGCATTTGACCGATTTTTTCCAAACATGGTATGAGCGTCATGCTGACCCATCCCAACGTCACACATTCTGACTTTTTACAGCTGTCAATAACAATGAAGATGATTCTCGAATTTGTAAGGTGATAATAATTTAATATCACTCAATTTAGGTTCCTGAAACGATGCAGTGTTAACATTTTTCGAAAATAAATTTGCATTTTTTAAAAGTAATTGTGTTTTGTAAAACATGAAGTATCAATATGACGCCCTTACGAAAGTTTATGTAGTTTTCGGTTTGATGATGGTGATTGATGAAACGTTGGAGGTAGGAATGCGAAATGTGGCACGAAGATAGACCATACACGTTATAAGCCTATATTAAGCATTGTTTCAAAGTGGACAAATAGAAACATGGCGCGTTCACGAAAAGCTTGAGCTTATATACGATCAATTTAACGTAGATAAAATTAATAGTTACATAATCAATATTTCACGATAGTGAAATAATTACCAGTAAAAATATTAACTTGCCGGTCACGGTAGCCGAGCGGTCTAAGGCATGTACTGTCTTCGCTCGCTCGGAAGCCGGGATATTTGGTTCGAATCCCACTCAGGGCATGGATGTTAGGTGTTTATGTATAGGTAGAGGTCTTGAGACGAGCTGATCACCCACCCAAGGAGACCTACCGTAAGTCTGAGATCTAGTAAACCGAAGTGAAACGGAGAGTTTCATGGAGGTAAGCCAAGGCCCAAATGAGGGCTGTAGCGCCAAATGGAAAAAAACAAAACATTAACTTCTCTGTAGGATTAGAAATCCATGCAATAACAAAGCAGGTATTGTGATTTCTGCTGAGGATTCCTTTACGTCACTTGCGTCCCATTTGACAAAGAGGGTGCTGTATGCGAAGCACATAACAGGCACGAGAGTGAACTGAAATGCCTGCAGAAATTCGGGTCGAGTAAACTGAAAGGAAGATACCACTTGAAAGACCTTGACGTAGATGGATGAATAATAACAAAATGGATCCTAAATATAGAGTTGGAGGGTGTGGACTGCTTTCCTTCGTCTCACAATATGGGTACCCGTTCCAGTCACTTCTGAACACGCCAAAGGGCCTTGGGTTCCGTAAGAGACGGTAAATCCCTTGACCAGATGAGCAACAGTTAGTGATTCAGAAAGGAGTTAGCCGTAAGTTACAGTCGAATGGGTGGGACTACAGCTTCGTATCCGGGAGATCCCGTGTTTAAATCTCGTCCCGGAGACCAGCTAACATGATTAAGGTTTTCATGTAGATCCCAAAGTGTTCAGACGATGGGGTATAACATTCAGAATTACTGGGTGTTTTGTACCGGTATTTTGGAAAATAGAAAACACAACATTTCGGAAACTGGATCTGTTTCGTCCTCAGATAAGGGGGGGAGACAACTACTCAGTTGGGTCACTTAGAAAGAGCTAACCTCAAT